CCTGGAAGCCTGCGGGAAACCCCATGTCTCCATCCCTGCCGGCTGCCTCCCGGGACGGTAGACTAGTATACGTACGTGCTTGGACCGGCCCGCATCGGCTGACCGAGACCGACGACTCTCGCTCGGCGTGGCGTGCGGGACTCGCGGTCACTCCGTCACTGATTCCCCTTCCTGCCTAACCCACCGATTTTTTTTAAGCCTTTTTTGAAATTTTTTTCACAAATATGTCCCTGAAGGTATGTTTTCAAAATCTGGACTCTTAACTTGGCGTCATCGTTGGTGGCGTCGAGCTTACACGTCTCGACGCCATAGATTTTGGTGACAAGGTCTTGGGCTCGGCGTAGACGTGGCGGTGACTTGGCAGACACCTTAGCGCCGTAGATCTTAGCACTGAGTTTGGCGCCATAGATCTTGGCGCCGTGGTTATTGATGTCGAGAACGGTGCCAAGATCTATAGCGCCGAGGTGGTGTTTTAACCCGGCGCTCAATCTTCCTACTCGAGCCTTCCTCCTCTTCTTTCTCCTCCCTCTCGGGTTTTCTCTCCCCACTTCGTCCTACCTCACGAATCGGCATATTGGACCTTGGAAACGTTGATTTGATCCGTAGATCTTCGAGAGCAAGGTATCCTCGCTCCCTCCTAGTTTTTTTTAAATCGATTCGGTATATATTAGTCAGATTTTTTAACTTAAGAATCGTAATTACTTAGGGTTTCATGCAATTTTAATATATATATTATACAGCCAAAGCGTGAAAAAGCTACCAAACCAAGGTAACCTCAGCACACGTTATTATGACGTGGGTTCATTGTTGTGGATCAAATGGAAAACCCTAGGTATATGGTTTAATGTTAATTGCTTTAGGTTCTTAGAATGAAAATAGCTAAATTGTAGTTATGGCTGGATGACCGAAAATGCCTTCGACCCATTGCCTCTGCCTAGTGGTGTTCCAGTGCTCATGTGCTTTTGCGGCGATCCTTGCAAGGTAGCCAAGTCTGATGAAAATGACACGTATAGGCAGAGGTATTGGATGTGTTCTAATTTTGCGTTTGAGCCTACACTTCGTCAGCGTCGTATTAACAAGATGGTGATGAATTGATGTTTGTGTCATATGACATCTTGCATGATTTTTTGTTTTGTAACAATTGCATTTTTTGCAGATCCCTCCACCGCTCTGTGATTTTGAGCAGTGGATCAACACTGAGATCAAGTCTGAAGACAAGAAATGGATACAGAAACTATTGCGGTGGGAGGTAGAGGATAAGGAGATGATGGAGAAGAGACGCAGAGAGGAGGCTGTAGAAAAGGAGCACAAGGAAGAGAATAAAAGGAGGCGTGTTGCTGCATACAGAGAGGAGAGGGAGAAAAAGCTTGACCATGAACGCCGAGCGAAAGCAGCGATGGAGGAGAATCCCGATGCCATGAGGAAGGGAAAGTGACCTCGTTGCACTCAATAGTCTCCATTACTTGCTAGTTCTATGATTTATTCATGAACAATGTTGTCTACTGTTTGACTTTTCATTGTGTTGTCATGTAATGCACTTTAAGTATGGGCATGCTTAGGTCATGTACTTCGTTATTTAGTTTGTCGGCACGTACTTCTAGTATTATTGTGTTGTTTAATGTGTTATAGTATTGAACTTTTTATATATAGTTGTTTTTATTATTTGTGGTCATAATATTCAGTTTAATATTACGGACGTAGTGAAATATGATCACGTGCTGCAAATAAACCCTAACAAAGTAGGGCATTATATAATTCAACACACAAAACACATGAAATGACATGTGAGAACATGTACCGAATTAGGGTACAGAGGTCCTGAACTAAACCTAACATACCTTAGGTAATTGAAGCGAACAACAAGCACAAGAAATGACATGTAAGAACATGTATCAAATAAGGGTACATAGTTACTTCGACTAAACCCAACATGTCTTAGGTAATTAAACCAAACAACAAACACATGGATGTGCCATGTGAATAATATAGGGTCGTTCTAGTAGTGTGGCCACGTAGCAAATTGTGTTGCACCTTTTCCACAGTAGCTTCCCATTGTTGGTGGTGGTGGCGACGGGGTGATGGCGAAGGCCCTTTATTCTTGTGATTAGGGCAGGTGCAATATAGATCATTGTAGAGTGTTTTCTATGAACTTGCACCATTGTTGTTGTCGTCGTCTTCGTCTTTCTTGTACCCGCTGCTAACTTCCCTTTGTAGATCAAAGATTTGGCTCTACAGGTAGTAGATGTACTACTGATGCGGATAAATTGGTCGAGGATCAACCCACCTAGTGAACCCATAGTTTTCTTCGGACCCAAAATACTACAATAAGTATGTCCTATGAGTTGTAAGGATATTTGAGAAACATATTTAACAAACAAAATGTAATAGCAATTATCCATGCTCACGTGCATTTGAAGAATCGATGACCTCCGTCGATCCCCTCGGTGAACATCTGCACTAAGCAGTCCTCACCATGCATGCATTTTGGCCAATCTTCCTTCCTATTATCGTATCCTCTGAGAGGGCACTCTTTAGTGAAATCACCCTTGCTCTCGGAGGGGGGACTGATACACTGGTTCCTCAAAGAAAATTAGGCCTAAGAGACCCTTTTCACACAATGGGAGTTTCCTTCGTCCCCACCTTTCGTGTTCTACTCCTGAAACCCTTTCTTGGTGCCTATCAGATATGACACCAACATCCCTGTCAGGCCCAACTACATGTATCCGGACTAGCCTCAAGAGCCATCCCCAACTGTCATTATTCTCCTTCTTAACCAAAGCAAAGGCTAAAGGAACCAACTTGTTGTTCGCGTCATAGGATATGGCTATAAGAAGTGTGCCTTAGTATTTGCCAATCAAGAATGTACCATCAATGAAAAAGACGGAAAGACAGTGCCTAAAGGCCTCGACACACTGAGGGAAGCACCAGAAAGTACGGAAGAATATCTGCCTCCCATCCTTCCATGCATTTGGTTTTGGGATATACTCATAATGCATGTCTGGATTCACCGCTTTGATTGCATTGAAAAGTATGGGCAACTCCTATGCGTGCCTATGCGCGCGGCGGACGTGGCAAGCTAGGACGGACGAGGCGGCGCGGGCCGGGAGGGGCGGTGCGCGGCGGGCGCAGGACGGCTGGCGCTCTGTGTGGCGAGGCGATGTGAGCGGGCTAGGTCCACGGGCGACCGACATGGCGATGGCCGACGCGGGCGCGGGCGCTGGCGTGGGTGCGGTAGAGAGAGAGGAAGAGAGAAACGAAGGGAGAGCCCATACGTAAGACAGGGCTTGGCGCCAATAACCATGGCGCCAAGGTGCCTGCCAAGTCATCGCCACATCTACATCGAGCCCAAGACCTAGGCGCCAAAATCTATCACGTCGAGATATGTAAGCTCGACGCCACCAACGATAGCGCCAAGCTAAGGGTCCAGATTTTGAAAGCATACCTCCAGGGGTATATTTGTGAAAATTTTCAAAAAAATGCTAAAAAACAAAAAAAATCGGTAGTACCCACGGGGTTTCGAGTGTTGCAGGCAGTGCTCCTGCTCCGTCGCTTGTTCTGATTACAGATCTTTAAGCTAGTTGCATTGGAGAACATGTCCGGTACTTCCTTGAGCTTAGAGACTCCACTAGTCTCACCTCTTAGGACAATTAAGGTATCATCCGCTTACTGTAGGGTCACAACACCTGACGCTTGGTCAATTGGATGTCTGATGTCTAAAGTAATCTGCTGCTCTCCCCTGCTGCTGCACTATAGCCGCGGCAGGGGCAGGCACCAAAAGGCTCCCCTGCCGCACTGTAGCCACAGCAGGGGCAGATGTCAAAGTCAGCTCTGCTGTCACATCTAGTCACTATAGCAGCATGGTAGCCTGACATGTCTGTGTACTAGGATTAGATGGGTAGAGTTGTATATATAGCTTCGCACTGCAACTCAGTGAAGAACCATCTCCTCTGTAGAGCTTCAGCCAACGCTGGTGCTTGTGCCATGTGTGTGCACGCTCTGTCCTCCCTCCCTCTTCTACCTCCAGTGTGTGTGCGAGAACGCCAGTGACCGGTCGGCTCACCCGGTGACCGGTCGGCTCACCCGTGCGGGAGATCCTGGGCCCAACATGATGGTTCTCAAAAGTCTTTTAATGAGTGCTTGTAGGGTGTAAGCAACTCGAAGAAAAAGGTATGGCGAGATGGGGTCGTCCTGCCTTAATCCACGTTTAGGACTCCATTAACAAGAACAACAAATCTCGAGGAGTTGAGAATACACCGCATCCATCTTCTCCATTTGGAGTTGAAGCCTCGAGCAGCTAGAATACTGTTTGAACCGAGCCAGTTGACAGTGGCGAATGCTTTTGCAAAATCCAGCTTAAGCACAATACTTGGAATCTTCCTCTTATATCATGTCTGAACAATCTCAGCTGCGTATACAAAAGAGTGCAAAGATGCAAACTGTTGAAACTTCTATACAGTAGAAGAATGACATAATGGAGGGAAATAATGAACACATATTGTACTCTAGGATAATATACCATAATAACAATATATAAATAACTCATCTGAAATTGGTACTGACCTAATAGAGTTTTCTGACATTCAATTCAGCAATTCTCTGCTTGTGAAGCTCTTCGAAACATATGAACTCTGATTATCGTCAAGAAGTTGTGGCGTTATGCGGTGATTTTATTTTTCTCATTATGGTACCTAAATAAATATACAATGAAAGCAGAAAAAGTCATATATATATATCAGATATTTTCAAATGAATTTCAGACGCATTTCTGGATAATATAGCTTTCCACAGGGCCATATTTACTTCAAATCACTTACATAGTTTAGCCATTAAAATTTGGAATTCCTGCAAGACACCATTTGATCATTTACATTTGTTACAAGAGTTCAGAACCATCCATTCGTCTAAATCATGCGCTCAACTATACAAAAGCAGAAAGAAATGGAATATTGCAATGGATTCATTTCTTCCTCTGCAGCCATCATCGATCTTTTCTCGTCTTTTCACTGGCTGATCTCGCCGTCCTTGTCAATGGCTTGGCCAGCGGAGGATGGGGAGTAGTTAGCCGCAGTGGGGGAGTCACTTCTGCTAGGGCTGTGCACAATGTTAAATGAAAAATATGTGATTAATGATGCTTGACAGGCAGGTAATGTATTCCTGATGCCGTGTCAGTTTACCTAAAATTTAGAGATGTTGGACCATAATCTGGGCTAGGTCTTCCAGAGTCATCAATTGGCCTACACAAGTTAGTCAATCTATTAAAAAATCCACAAAACTCAAGGAGGGGACATACGGGTGAAATGGAACACTTTTCTGGGACACAAATGTGAAGATGCTTGATACAGATGATGAAGCCTGAATAGGACTCACCTGGTTGGGCTGTATGATAGACTTGGTAATGAATATGATGGTGAAGTCGATGAGTAAGTCGATGAAATTGGACTGAAATTTAAACCAGTAATCAATACATAAATATTAGAACACAGATTGCCACTGTTAGTTGTCAAAGATAAATTTGCAACTCTGTAGAATTGTTAGTACCTGTAGTCTGGACGAGTCGAGCTATCTAGAGTCATCCTTGGTCCGATTGGAGAGTAAGTGTTGGAAGAATTGTACTCAGTAGATGAAATATTGAAGCTTGGTGAAGTCGGGCTGTAGTTTGGCGATGTTTGGTTGTAAATTGGTGAGGTCGGGCTATAACCAGGTGATGTAGGGCTGTAACCAAGTGATGTGGACTGTATGTAGGTGATGTTGGGCTGTATGAGGGTGATGAAGGACTGTATGATGGAGACATAGGACTATACAATGGTGATGTTGGGCTGTATGAGGGTGACGAAGGACTGTATGATGGAGAAGTAGGGCTATAGAATGGTGAGGTTGGGCTATACGATGGTGATGCGGGGTTGTATGCAGGCGAAGTGGGACTATAACTTGGAGAAGAAGGATTATATCTTGATGTAGGGGAGTAAACTAGACTTATGGGCATGTAAACTGGAGTTATGGCTGAGTAAACCGGACTTACTGGACTATATGATGTTGAAGTAGAAGCATTAATTGGTGATGAAGCATTGTATGGAGTATATATCGGTGATACAGCCATGTACCTTTCCGACCTGGGATTGTATCCCCCTGACAACAACGATTGCGAGTAACCACCTTGTGAAGGAACAGGTGACAATGTCATATCTTTGACATATGGCGAAAATGAAGCATATGTATCAATGGGGGAATGCCTAAAATATGAACTCAGGAGATGACTCGGGGACATCAATCCTTCATGATATGGTGACCCAGAGAGAGGTGAAGGTGCTGGTGTGATGCCAAAGTCTAGACCATCCACATAGCTTGGGAGTTGAAGTTCAATGGCCTGTTGTAGCATCTGGTCATTCAGAAATAGTGCGCAGCCTCCGGTACCAATAGGAGAAAGCTAGCCAAGCATAATGTTCTCAGTGACACCTCTCAAGTAGTCAGATTCGGCATGTATAGCAGCATCGAGCAAGATATCCATAGTTTCTTCAAAAGAACATCTCATAAGAGGTCCAATGTCATTGCGATTGATAGCATGCCTTGTAATAGCCATCAGATGACCTCTGTATGTCATTGTATCACAAAGAACAGCCAAATGCCTATAATTTACATAGGATCCATCAAAAGATATGACTGCCCGAAGTTCATCAAAGAGAGCTCGACGAACAGCCTCAATTCCAAGAACCTCAATCACTTCAGTCAAATGGCTACTTGTTGTTCTTGTAGCATCAACATCCTCATGACACATGACAGCTAAGAGATTAACACCTTTTGTATCAAGCATCCATTCCTTATGTCCTTTGAAACCATCATTCACATCAAATTTGTTAACTTTCACCTCTTTTATAAACACCTTGTTAATATCTAGAATGCCTCAAAGAGACATCTCTGCCAATACTCTCTGTCTTCTTGAGGAAAACTTCATCCTCAGCAGACTCATCTAGTATTTCTCCTCTTGAAGCTTCATCATTTATGATGCGCAGGCGAAGAATAAGTTTATCTGCATTGTCATCATTGTATATGCATGATAAGTCGCCATCAAATTCATGGTTGATCTTATTGGCGATATCAGCCATGCTCAACTTCTTATCAACCATCATCTCACGATTAAGCTCAATACGCAGCAGCTAAGGAGAAATCTTATCCGGGTCAATATCCTCATCAGTCATTTCATAATATGACCAGACAAATTCCAAATCCTCTTCAATGATGGTTCCCATAGGATCAGGATCATACCATACTTCAGTGGCATGAGTCACACTGCATAGTGTGGTGTACTCTAAAGCACATTGGACACTCTTAGCCAATTCTTTTGTCTTGTTCAACCCAGGCTTTAGGTAAACAGACAACGATGGAGTTTTTATCTTCTTGGTGACATTAATTATCTCTCTCAATCTGGGAACTCCAAGGGTAACATTCTTGGCACTGACACCAGCAAAATGGAAGGTATTTAGAGTCATTTGAGTTGCTGGTTCCCTAATGGACTGCGCAGCAACACATCCAATCATTTCACTAGGGGCCACCAAAGACTGTGAAAACCTCCAAACAATCTCATCGATAATCTACTCAAATGCTTCCCTTGTAAGCATGTATTCCTTCAAGACCCTCTTGCTAGCAAATGTGGCACGAAGATGGATATTAAAGAACAAGGTGGCATTCTTCTGAGCCTCAATGCTTATAGCATCATCACCTGGCACAACTTTCAGTCTTTCTTGCAGCTTATCTATCGCTTCCACAATTTCTATTGGGTGCATGACAGAACATGTTCTGACATCAATCTTGAATGTCTTCTGGGCATTCCAGATAAGCCGCTTGAGGTTGACAGACAAAGGCCATGTATGATTACCATTTGTAGCAATCTCAGTCCCAAGTTGGAACCTGTCAGCTTCTAGTTTACGAACCTCCGCCTCTAACATACTTCTGAATTCACTAATGGTCTTCAAATCATCAAAATGGATAGGCATCAAGTAGTTAGGCCTCCAATTCTCATCATCCAGTTCATATCGGAATACAGTATCAAACTCATCCTTTTTCATCTTCAAAGAGTCCAAATTCTGTTCTTCAATACAAACAGCATACATACCATCTTCCCCATATAGAAACTGAATGACATCTCCTAAGGAATTTCTTACAGTGCCATCATACTTCACCATGATGTCCTCCATAGCTTTCACAAGCCTCTGTTGGATATACCCAGTCTCGAAAGTCTTCACAGCCGTATCAATAAGTCCTTCTCTACCACCCATAGCATGAAAGAAAATTTCTTGCGGTGTCAGACCCTGAAGGTAAGAGCTCTCCACAAATCCACGATTTTCAGGACCATAGTCATTTTTCATGAAATGTGGCAATGTTCGACCACTGAAACCAAATGGGATCTGCTTGCCCTCAATATTTTGTTGTCCATCACAAGCAGCTGTTTTTGTGAAATGTTAATGAAAGTGCCTTTTGAGCCTGCAGTGACAATAGCCTTGAAATTGTTGCTGTCAGACAAGCTCTTCTACGCCCTGCTTCCAGCCATATTACCGGCCGTGTTGAGAACCTAGAATAAAAAGAGAGTGGACTTGATGTTAAACAACTCAACTGATATCGATAGTTTTCTTGTTTGATTGGAAGACCTATATATAAAATAAAAGGCAATCCATAATCAAAGACACAAGCAATTACCTCATTTACTTTATTTTCAAATGACTCCATCATGGTGCGTCCTGGCTCAGCTTCCAATTTCTTGTCGCGTGCTTGTTTAATAAGTTTCATCACACTATCCTTAGCACTAGAAATTGCTCGATAAATGCTTTTCATTGTGTCTGCATCTGCAATCATATCTCCAATTCCAATACTGAAACCATTTTGAAGAAGCCAATAGTTGACAAGCCACTGTGTATAACCTAAGAACTTGCGTGCAGCATCTGGACCAACCTCTTCCCTGCAAAGAACAAGTTAAAATGAAACTAGATCAAACAAATGAGAAAAAAGAAATTACTAAACTGTGATGCAACTTCTGAATCAGAACGTTAATGGAAGCATAATTACCTAATAACATGAATCAGACTCCCAGGGCATGTTCCAAGAGTCTTGTTGCAAAGTGTGCCAGATAGAAGCTCTCCCTTTTCTATCCTGACCATAGTATCACTGGGAGTAACAAATCCTTTCTCTTCGTCGGAATGCCAGGAACAAAACCAAATTAAATTTATTTGCCTTGGGATAATTAAGTTGAAAACTTGTTTCCCAGTCCAAATAGGCCTTGGTTTGAGAATGGAAGGAGCAGGAATCTTTCCATCAAAGTCTTCCCACCACATTAATATGTTCATAAATACGTCCTGGAATAAATTTCATAACGTTGAGCTACAAAACTTAACATAAAACACTATTGAAAAAGGTAAGTAAAGTCTATCTTTAATCACCTTTTCAATGAGAGTGTCCCTTTTGGTGATTTTGCGACATCCAATCAGCGTGTCTTGGACAATACCCATCACAGGCTTATTTGATTGTGGAGACACAATACATTTTGGCACCACCAATAATTCTAGAACTTCTGCTCTAGTCTCAAAAGCATTACCGCTACAGTTACAATGAATACAATGCTCACCTTGTAACCAAGCTCCAAATGTTGATCATTGCTTTTCTTCACATAACGAAGATCAAGCCTCTGACCATCTTCCCTGATAATGTACTTTGCACCTGTCTTCCCTAGGGGAGGATGAGGCCCATTTAGTACAAGTTCCTTCAACCTGAGATCATTGGAGTTAGTTGTAAGCTCAGCAAAAGAACATTTCCATAACACGTTTCGGTAAACTGGTTTACCTCTCAATGTTATATGGAGTGACAGTTTCTGGATATGTCAGGTTCAAAGCAATACTCCATGGCACACCCAATTCATCAATGTTAATATTTGGATCTGGTGTGATAACAGTACGGGCTGAGAAATCAACTCGCTTCCCCATCAAGTTTCCTCTAACTCGGCCTTCTTTTGCTTTCAGCCTGCTGCAAATTGATTTAATTGGCCTTCCAGAACATTGTGTGGCTTGAGCATTTAAAAACAACTAGAAAGGATAATTTAGCCTTGTATCTATAGGTGACATGCAAGACATCTTTCTAGACTACTCACCCTGGGTTGGCCAGGAAGTTCATTATCAAAGTATGTAGCAATGTGAAATTGCAACAATTGAGCAAACTCTTTAATGTGAGCTGGAGCTCCGTTTCTCTCTTGCCTCCTCAAGTTCTCATTATGCCGAATTATCATAGCTAATTGATGAGTCAAATCATCCTGCAGAAACAGATGAAAGACCAAGAAGAATAACAGTGAGTTGAGCATTCCAATCCATCCATGCAAACAAGTCAAAACATAATTACTGTAATAGTAGTAGTAGGCTCACCTCGCTTTTGGAAGAAGTGCCCATCATGACAGAAGGTCTAACAGGGGGTGGAGGAATTTGGGATGTAAGCCCAACAGAAGACTCTCCTTGTCAGATATACGCTTGAGAACGTTAAGGACCTGGTCAAACAAGCCATGTAAGCAAACCGCATGGTTACAGTAACTTCCTTAGAACAACTTGTTAATTTGTTAAATAAACATAGATAATATAAATACCCTCTCAGCAGAGAGAATCTGCTTCGGTTCCAATGACTCAGAGAGTTGCTCTCGATCATCATTTTTCTTCTTTGTTGCTTTGAATTCCACAAGCATCTTCATACCATCAACTGTAATAATTGGCTGATGAGCACCACAGCCACCTCTTCTCTTTACATGCTCATTAGTATCTTGCTACTGCTGGACATCAAGGTCATCACCCTCACCACAGACCTTTTTGGTCTTGCAAGCATCGTATATTTTCTTTAATCTATTCTTTGGGTTCCTGATTTTCAGAGCCTGCTTGAACTTGGTATTATCCTGCAAGATGAATGCTAATGTCGAATAACATTGGAAAAACATGATATTTAGTATAGTGGCTAAACATGTGACAACAGCTAAATCAGAACTTTGTGAAAAGCTCCAAAGTTAGTTCATGGTCAGGTTTAATTACCCTGATCATTTTATACAGAACACAAATATGTTTTTGCTAGGGTGGTAATATTCACCCAAAATATACACTACAACACGAGTTTCTAAGCTTCATGGATCTTACATTAGGTTTCAGAAAAGTCTGCCTGCACATGCAAACAAGTTTTTGTTTACAACTTTTTGTAGTGTGTTACCATGTTTACAAGTATTTGTTAAACATGCCTCCTGTAGACAAGAGCAAACCATGAGCATAGCTTGATGCAGTACAAAGAGAAGGACAATTCATTCATTAATATAATGGTTAGAATACAGAAGGCTACTATGATCTATATCAAATATGCTTTGATTTAAAATCAGAACTCCTTTCACTATAGCCAGATAGGCACACAAGCAAGTGCACACAAACATTCTGCGCAGTAACAGAACCCAGGGGTACCTCATCCACGAGGATCTTGGAGCAATTGAAGCAGACGCAGCGCATAATGGACAATACAGTCTTCATAAACCCAATGTGGAACATGGGCTTGGCGAGCTCAAGGTGATCAAAGTGGCCTGGGCACTCTGCCATCCCCCCATGTATGTCTGGCACTTGATTTTGCGGTCGACAGTCCCCATTCAAGGGTCACTAAGCCCACCAGCCTTTGGCTTCCCCTTCTCCATAGTCTCTGCATATTCTATTTGTGCCACCGACATTTGTATCTGCACAACACAAAGAGTATTCACCATTAAATTACATGACCTGAATTTTGTTGTTCAGACACTGCAGATGTGCCGCCTTTTTTTTAATGAAGCGGTACAAACTAGCCCAACATGGCAAACCATTAAACCCATCATCCTTCGTCATCTTAATTGTTATCTTTGCATTAAGTCGAGGAATTACTCACTTAGTCATCATGTAACATTAATGGTGCGTTTCAGCTGTACAGTAGTAGTCATAACCCAACAAATCTAGTTATCTGTGCTTTCCAGTTCAAACTTGCAGTTGCAATGTTTCATCTTAATCGTTTATCTTTGCATTAAGTAGAGGAATTGCTCACTTAATCACCATGTAACATCAATGGTGCGTTTTAGCTGTACAGGAGTAGTCATAACAAAACAAATCTAGTAGTTATCTGTGCTTTCCAATTCAAACTTGCAGTTGCAATGAAACATGACTAAACCAAACACATTCTTGACAGTCAAGTTCATAAAAACACACCAATATGGCATTGGATATATATGGAGTTATGGACCTGCCCAAATTTTACTAGCAGCCCCTCCAATCCCCCAAATCATCCATCCAGCTCGAATTCGAAAAATCAATCCAAGCAGAGGAGACGAGCGGACGAGGGGCAGGGCATTACGATCTCGTCGGGCCCGACGCCGCCGAACTGCACGAGCTCCACCTTGGCGACCTCGGCCGGCGAGTGCGGGAACCTCACGTCCATCTCGCCTCCTCCTCCGTCCTCCCCACGCGTGAGTGGCGGCGGGCGCAAGACCGAGAAGATGGATTTTTCTGTGTCGGCGCCTCGGTGGGGTGGGATGGGGAAGGAAAACAAAGAAAGAGACTAGAGAGGGACGGTGGGATGTGGGTCGGCTATCACCTGTTCGCTCATGCTTATCAGCTACGATACATTGATTTTCTCTCGCAACAAAAACAGTATCAGTCGGTTTATAAGCCACAGAAATGATCAAGCCAACGGAGTGTATATTTATAAGCCTAGCCTACGCCGATGGTAGTCTCTGTGGACCCGTGGGGGCGGTGCACGGATTAAAGGCGGCGCAGGGTGACGTGGTGCTCGTGGACTGCATACGGGAAGGGGGCGCGGGTTGATGGGAAACCGCCTTTGGTTAGGGTGACGTGCGTCGTTGGACGTTGGTGCGACGGGGTAGATGGGTTCGCGTGGGATGCGGGCTCGATCAATACGGAAGCGGAAGTCCGAAGTCGTGGACTCCGTACTCATGTGCTCCATGGACACAGGGAGGGCAGTTTTTGGGTCTGTTAGGATAGGGCCAACAAGGGCTAACGTTCTCATGTGGTTTGATAGTAGAAAAAAACACGCTACTCAACGAAAAAATTAGCTGATTTTACACTGAGCTTTATAAGAGATGTTGTATATGGCTTTATTGTTGTTGTACCTTTTAAATCGTACTCGTAACCACGAGTCTATCACACCTCTGCTTTAGTCTCTGCTCCAGCATACAGATCTCATGGCGAACTCGCTATCTGCCCTCAGCGCGTGCTTCAGTGTTGGCCTCTGCTTTTCGTTAAATCAGACTAAAATTAGTAGGGATGGGTCTACGTAGAATGTAAGGGGTTGCGTGCGTACTCAAGAAAAAACAAAAAAAACATAGTAAAACTATATAGGCACTCATATAGTAAAACTACGTATCCTTGAGGTAAGCGCACCCCTTCTCATCTGCTCACTATGCCAACATATAGATTGGGATTTGCCAATAAGCTCCTGGCATTAAAAAGATATTGGAAAATATTTGGCGCAAAAAAATCAAAGCACAAGCGAAGTATGGACAATATTGGGCCTACCCTGCCCAAACCGGTCAGGCCGGTTTCCATGTAACGTGGCTCAGCAACAGTGCCTGGCCCCAAGAAAACTGGACAGACTAGTTTGGAAACCGGCCAGAGCAGTTTTCTTACCTCCGAGTCCGATCTGTTTTCAATGGGAAACTTAGAATGCGTTCTGTACATGTTTCCTACTGTCGCCGACTCGGTGGTAACGGCTCCGGTGCCCGTGTGGACACAAGGGCGTCCTCTTGTTTAGCTTGGACTTTTCCTGGATGATCCGGCACAAATAAGGCCGTAATTTTCTTGATTAGTTGTTTCTCATTACATGGAATGCTACTTTTCCACATTCTAGCTTCATTATTTCCACGGGTTATGGCGTGTTTACTTGGACGCTAGTTGGAGCCGAGCCAAACTTGCCATCAGTGGCGGAGGCAGGTATTTGGCACGCTTCGGCAGTCGCCGGACCTAAAGTTTGTACAAAATACTTAATATATGTATTATATACTAGTAAATATACATAAAATACATAAGTCAATATGTACCGGTTGGTCAGATGTCCGGTCGGCACTCTCGCGGGTTCGAGCCCCCACGGGTGCGCTCGTTCGTCTGCCGGAGTTAAAAAATCCTCTTGTCTGTCCCGAGTTTTTCAAAGCACAGGTAAATGGACCGCCCATTCATAGGGTTTCTGGCCCCTGTGTAAGGGTTGGGCACGGGATTTGGGAGTTTTCTCGATCTGCATGAGAAAGTCTTCTTCCTTAAGCACAAAGTTACGGGGTTGTCTGCCCATCGCGGGCCGAGTTTTTTTTGTACAAGTCGGTATGTTAGTTTTTATAAACCCCGTCACATCTAAAAATTATTCCTGCCTCCCTGTGAAGGAGCTGCGTTTGTTGTCGCTATCGTCCCAACTTTGTCACTTTTTTTCTCTCCTTTCATTTTCTATATTATCTACTTACTTTATGTAATGTACTATGAACAAATTTTTTATGTTGAGAAGTTAGTTTGGAACATATCATGTAAAAAATTGCTGCAAAAGTTGTGTATAATTTTTTTGGAAGACGTCAAACAAAAAAGGGAAAATTGTCGGTTGGATATCCAAAGTGACAGTCATTTGCTGACGGACATCCACTTTGGAGCATTTTGCCAGAAGACACTCTGTTTCGATGAAATTAGGCCACAGGACACCGTGGACCGGTTGCAGCCGGTTGAGGAGAAATAACAACGGTGAAATGACATTCTTACCTCTGCCGCTTTCTTCTTCCTCTCTCCCTTGCCTTGATGGGCCGAGGGCAACATTGGACTTGCACGCGCCCTTGCCTTGATGGGCCGAAGCCCAGCCACGCCGAGCCGCTGATGCCTCGGTCCCACGCGTCTTCCCCGCTCCGCATCGCGCGGAAGCCCACGCCGCCATTGATCCGCCCGTGCGCGCACCCCGAGGATGGCCACGGCCTATAAAGGGCTTGCCCCTAAGCACCGTGCCCCTTTGGAACCCAGCAGAGCTGCTGCTGCCGCCTAGACCCCTAACCCTAGCCGCGCTGCCATAGCCGCCGCCGTCGATTTCCGCGGCCACCGTGTCTCCACCGATGAGACCGCCGCCGCGAGCTTCGCCCCGAGGTGAGCTATCCGCTGGTGCCCTTTCCGCCCTCTCCCTCGCTTCCGCGTGCCCGCGCGCCCTCGTCGTTGTAGCGCCGCCATCGCTGCTCTGCTCCGCCGCGTGCGCTGCCGTCTTCGCCAGCCTCGGCAGCCGTAAACCCTCGCAGCGAGATCGCGAGACCGAGCCGCACTTGCCCGTGCCCTCTCCTTGGCCCACCGTGCGCCGTAGTCCCGCGACGCCGATCTCCGGTGAGCTCATGGCGGCGGTCGCCACCCATGGCGCAAACTAGCCACAGCCAGCCCAGCCATACTCCTCTTGGCCTCAATGACCCAAACTACGGCGGCCGAGTTCGAGGCCGCGCCTCGTGCCCCCCATGCGCCCTTCAAGGCGCCTTCGACGCCGGCCGAACCCCTCAGCGCCCGTCTTGGCGAAAAGCTCCGGTGGCGCCGCCGCCACCGCCCCATGGCTGCAAGGATCGCTGCGGGCAAGAATGTCATTTCAACGATGTTCTCTCTCCTCAACCGGCTGCAACCGGTCCGCGGTGTCCTGTGGCCTAATTTCACCGAACCAGAGTGTCTTCTGCTAAAATGCTCCAAAGTAGATGTCCGCCAACAAAGGACCATCACTTTGGATGTCCAACAGACAATTGTCCTAACAAAAATATGTGTATGAGTTACATTATTCGTAAAACTTATTATATAAAAGCTTGTGTTAGGAGATTTATAATGAAAAATTGTTGTGATATAAAAAAAAGATGTCATGATAACTTACCTATAAAACTATATTGAAAAAGTTACGATTAAAAATTAGGATTAAGTCCACTTTTAGACCCTCAACTATTGGGTTTGTCTAATTTTGATCCCCATCTACAAAACCATCTAATGTGGGTACCCCAACTGTGAAAACCATTCACCTTTAGCACCTGGACGCGAGCAGGGCTATTTTGCCCGACGTGGAGCGGGTTTAACCACACCACGCTGGCGTTGACCATGCCATGCTAGCCTCTCTCTTTCCTCCCCGTCACGCTGACTTTGGTCATGTTAGAACCCAGAAAGCAGGCTATAGCAAAGCGCCGGCTCGTGGCCGAGAGCATGGAGCGGCGACGCACGAGCACCAAAGACGCAGCGAAACCAGGACCACATCTCAAGCTCATGCAATGAACCCATGCATTTGGCTCTTTTGAATTTTCATTGCATCTGTTATTCGGTGCCGCCTCCTTAATGCGCCGCACAAGGAGAACCGCCATGAGTCCATGCCGATTTACGCCACATCAAACCCTCGCTAGTGCCGCTCAAACTATGATAGGACGTAGTATGCTTTCTTGCCTTTACCTTGACGCAACCTTATCCCCGCCACCCCGCTTTGGCTAGCACACGCTTGCTAATTACTTACTACGCTTGCACCACATGACGTGGTGAAACCAGAGTTATCCGGACTATGGGGAGAGGCCGTGTGTGACCACGTTGCCACGAGCCTGGGCAGTCTTGTCGTGGTGCTACCGGCACCCCCGAAATGGATACCGTGGTGGGACACCGCCCTAGGTGTGCGTTCCCCGCCGAGCCCCCTCCGCCCCAGTAGAGCCCTCCTCCACATTCCCCACTCCCTCCCTGCACTACTTGGCCTCTCCTTGGCGCGAGCCCGAGCAAGCAGACCTATAGCTCATAGGCCACCACGCCATGACTTGGGGTGTACCAGTGGCCGAATGGTAGAGTGGCATTATCCTAGGCTTATGCAAATGCGACCATGCGGAAAGCATGGCCGTCTCTCTTCCTCTCTCAAATTCACGATGTATCCAATCTCTCTCTCCAATTCTTCACCACCATAGGAGCCTTGGGTCTTGAGCTCGTTGTTGGGTGTGATCCCATCAGGGGTCATCCTCTATTAAGCTTACTCGAGCCATTCGCGTCGTCGGTGGCCGCCATTCACACAGAGCTCAAGCTCCGCCACAACCAACCCCATCTCGCCCACTCTCTTTCCTACCTTCGCTTCGTTTCTGTGTCACCATAACATCCGGTCGTCCTCTATGTACAGGTTTCGTGGAGCTCCGCTGGTTCATCGAGAATGCCGATGTCGCCTCAGTTCGTTGGTTGGCTTGCCACCTGCTGTGGCATCGCCACAAGCCACGACGCCCGTCCGCCTCTAGTAGAGCTAGCACTCCTCCGCCTCCCTCCCTCGGCCAACTAGAGCCTTCTGAGAACACCACTGAGCCCTAGTCCGTCTTCGCCACCTCTCTTAGCCCGGTGTAGTTGTTGTTGTCGAACGCGACATAGCTCATCCGTTCACACAGCTCAAGCTCCGCCACATACATGTGCATGGCCGGCCACATTAAGCTTCGCCGAAATGCTGCTAATGTCGGCGCCACCGCCTCGCGGGCTATCATCGCTCCGGGCCACGCGACCCCCTCGTGTAGCCGCCGCGCCTCGCCCACCTCGTGGGGCCACGTCATTGGGCGGACCTCCCCGCCCCACACAGTGTGGCCAAGCTCACTTCCTCCTCCCCATATCTTTCTTCTGGAGATAGACCAAGGCGAGGGAGGGGATGAGTGGTTGACATGTGGGCCCCACATGTCACTGAGGTGGAGGGTGATGTCCTACGTGGCGGTCAACGCCGGCGTGGCATGGTCGAACCCGCTCCACGTTGGACAAAACAGCCCTGCTCGTGCCCAGGTGCTAAAAGTGAACGGTTTTAACAGCTAGGGTACCAACATTAGACGGTTTTGTAGTTGATGATCAAAATTAGACAAACTCAATAGTTGAGGGGCAAAAAATGGACTTAATCTAAAAATTATGGTAATAAGTTTTGTCCCATAAAAAGTGATGAGTAAAAATTATGAGTATAACTAACTAACTTTTTTTATTTTTAAAAAAGAGAAGTGGTGAAGATTTTTTTTCTATAAAAAAGGCACAGGAGTTGTCCGATGGTTCACTAGTTTCTAATGCAACACATGTTTGCTTGTTAGTGAAGCTGTGCTATTTGGCTTGCCCCAGCTAGCAATGCCAACTTACATTTCATTGCTTCATTTCTCTCTCTCCGTGCAGTCAAATCGGGGTAGCGATTTCAGCCGCCGAATTTTGGTGGGCTCATGGCATCCATAGGCTAAATCCAAGCACACCATGGAGTAGAAGACCGAAGAGCAGACGGTTCCGGTTCTGGTTACGGCCATTGACATTTCTAGTTTGTTGCCTTGCTAAGTTCTATTGTAATTGGTCGGTCGGTTAGGTTCTTATCCGATTGATTGAGTCCCCAGCTTAACAAGTTGTTCAATTCTCGTAAATTTATTCTAGAATTTAATAATACTATTTTTTAAGTAGTATACGACATTTCTGTTGACAACTATGCACCTACGTTGATTGATCTGCTCACTAAGTCTTCTAAAATGCTTACTCTCTCAGTCAAAAAAATCGTAATTCTAGCTTTGAACCTGGACACAGGTGGTGTTTAGATTCAGAGCTAGAATTGTGTTTTTTTTTCTAGAGAGAGGGAGTATAGAAGAATGGTTTGTATGCATATATTTATAGAGACGAATTTTCATACATATTTGTGTGACATGCACTCTATGCTTAGCAAAAAAAAATGCACATTTTTGTTTGGCAATTTTAATAATATTTTCTGCCCGTCGGTAAATAATCGTTTTTAAATAACTTCATCAAATGTAGAAAAGCAAAGCTGATTTAGGTGACATGCTTTCGTGGAAACACAAAGGCTCTATGGACACAGATATGGTGCAGTTTGTACTAGGGACTGATGCAACTGAAGCTTGTAGCCTCTTGTACTAAGGTAGAAAGGGACAAATCATCAATTTGGCCGTAATAAGTCCCTGAATCACCTTAATTCAAGTCTATTATGAAATTGATAGCAATAGAAGCTTGTATTGGAGACTTGTTTACCAATTTTACTTAAACCTGCATGGAACTTGACCGAATCTTGTACAAAAACTAACCATTATTCCAGTCCTTAATGTCTAATTGCAAATAAATAATCAGCAATTACTGATAAAAATCAGCAGCTACCTGATCCAAATACCGTTTCATTCAAAGACAGTATGAAATTCAAACCACTCAAAAATACACGTCATTTAATCATTTAATAGACATAACTCAAAGCCGAGAAAGAAAGCATGCAACAAGAGTGATATTATCTTAAACAAGCATTTTCCAACAGAAAGGAAACAAGCATTAAATCAGAATGGCACAAGCATTTACTGCAACACTTCCACTTAACAAAGCTTATACCAACTGTTTCATCTGTTACATCACGATGGATAACAAAACGTGTCTCAGCAGCACACTACCATCTACAGTATGACCAATGATGTTCAGAAACATGCATTTGACAACTAAAAGGAAACAGGATAAAGGTAGTTCCCAGTACAGTAGATGGATCGACAATATTAAACCAGCACGGGTAACAGTAGCAAAAACGAAAAGATTAGAGCTTGTCCTCAAACTCAGAAAGAGGGGTCATCTGTTCCTTGAGACCCTTCCTCTTGCGGATATCCAGCACCAGCTGAGCAGCCTGGGAGCCAGCCTCCAAAGGATCAGAGCCCATCATGTCCCAATGGTCAAAGACACACTGGGGGAAAGCCTGACCAGAGGTTGCAGCCCTCAGTTGGCTGGAGAACCCAAAGGACTCGATGACAGGGAGGTAAGCCTTGATGTTGTAGAGCGGGGTACCCGGCCTCTGCATCTCCTCGAAGACATGCCCTCTCTTCTGGTTCAGAACACCATAGATACCACCAAGTGCATTTTCTGGGGCCTGAATCTCCACCAGGTACACTGGCTCCAGCAGCCTTGGCTTGGCCGTGATCTGAGAAGCATAGATGACCCTCCTGGCAGTTGGAATGACCTGGCCACCACCCCTGTGGATAGCATCAGCATGAAGAACGACATCACAGACCTCAAAGCAAATCCCTCGCATGTTCTCCTCTGCCAGTGCACCCTCCTTTGACGCCCACTGGAAACCAGCCACAACAGAATCCTTGATTTCATTGAGATACTGAACTCCCTTACACATATCAACAACCATGTTTGGACCAGTGGTCTCAGGTCCAAAACACCAAATCTTCTTGGCAAGGTCCTTGTCCCAACCAAACTCCTGAGAGAGGATCTGGGAGCGCACCTTAGGATCATCACGTGGGCCAATGCGGCCCTCATCAATGGCCTCAGCGAGACCCTCCTCCAAGGGGCGCGCTTCCATGTACAGACGGTTGTGCTTGTTGGGTGACTTGCTCATGACAGTACGGCAGGACTTCTCAAGAACAGTTTCACGGAAGGACACAACAGGAGGGGAAACGATAATTTCAGCACCACCCATGAAGTCCTCCTGCAGATCCTTCAGGCAAATCTCAAGATGAAGCTCACCAGCTCCAGAAATGATATGCTCACCAGATTCTTCAATTGTACAGAGAACCATAGGATCAGACTTCGCTAGACGCTTCAAACCTTCAACTAGCTTGGGAAGGTCAGAGGCAACCTTGCACTGAACAGCAACACGCACAACTGGGGAGACAGAGAACTTCATTGCTCTGATTGGGCATGCATCAACCTCCTTCTCATTAGTGAGTGTAGCATTCTTCGTGATGAACTGATCCAGACCAACCATTGCAACAGTGTTACCACAAGGAACATCCTCAACAGACTCTTGTTTCTTTCCCATCCAGATAACAGTACGCTGGACACTCTTGACATACAGATCCTTCTTCTGGCCAGGGACATAGTTGGGACCCATGATGCGAACCTTCATACCAGTAGCAACCTTCCCTGAGAAGACACGGCCGAAGGCAAAGAACCTGCCCTTGTCAGATGCAGGAATCATCTTTGAAACATACAGCATAAGAGGTCCCTCCGGATCACAGTTTCTGATAGCAGTTGCATAGACATCATCAAGGGGTCCCTCATACAAGTTCTCCACACGATACTTTTGAGCCTTTGCAGGGAAGGAAGGTGGAATATCATCATCTCAAGCAGTGCAGTGCTAGCTGGAAGCCATGTTTGCATAACACGCTTCATCAAAGCTTTGCCAATCAATTCCTTCTCATCAGCCTTCATGGTAACATTGAGCTTTTGCAGCATGGGCCACAATTTCTCCTTCTGGTCGTTCATGCAGGTGTTGATGATTTGCTTGATTGGCTCATAGCAGAACTGAACGAATCCTCTCTTGCAGGTAGGAGAACCTGTGTTCTTGGTAGTCCACTTCTTTGTGGCAGGGTCAAAGAAGTTCTCACCCCAAAAGCCTCTCCATCATCTTAGCTTCATCAACTCCAAACTTAGATGCATACATCTTGGCAAAGTTAGTGAGGGTAAAGGCCCATCCGTGCAGGCCAGCAGAAAAAGCAACAGTCCCCTTCTCTGGGTAGACTTGGACATCACCTAAGAGCTTATCTTCATATGTTGCCATAATGACGTTGGCATTCTCAATGACACGGGAAAAAGTCTGATAAGCTTCCTCACCCTCAACCTGAAGCTCAAGGAAGCACCTGTCCATCTTGTTCACAGTAAGGACTGGCCTAATCCTCTCACCAAGGGCTTGGCGGAGCACAGTTTCAGTTTGCACACAGACACCTTCAATACAGTCAACCACCACCAGAGCACCATCGGTGATGCGAAGAGCAGCTGTAACTTCCGAAGAAAAATCGACATGCCCAGGTGAGTCAATAAGGTTGATCAAATATTGGTTACCATCCCTCTCGCCCTTGTAGTTCTTCAGTGACTCATCAGTCATCTCATAGTAAAGAGAGATACCAGTGGATTTGATTGTAATACCACGCTCTGCTTCATCTGCACGAGTATCAGTCATGCGAACATCACCAGCAACTTCCTGGGCAATAATCCCAGCAGCTGCCACAAGGGAATCTGTAAGCGTGGACTTTCCTGCAAAAAATCAATAATATATAAGGAACGGTGCACAACTTCAACATCCAACTGGACATGCATCAGAGTAGCAAATTAGGGACAGACAACCAATCAAAATTGAAGGTTAACAAACACATCAATGCATTACAGTCTAAAACATACAGGTACTATACCTATCATAGCACCTAGAGAAGCAAAAAATTAATCACAAGATGAGAAAAGGGTAAGCCTACTACATGAATGAATAACTGACCATAAGTAACTTGGCAAAACAGATTATGCAGCATCATTAAAAAGCATTAGCTCTTAAATATTGAAAACAAAATAAGTTCTAAAAACGAAAAGGCTCGAAAACATAAAGCCATCTAAGAAAGCACTGTTCTGGACATACCATGGTCCACATGAGCAATAACAGACATATTGCGAATGTTGTTCTTTTTGTCCATGATGGCACGGAGCTCTTCAGCCGTGAACTTCACCATCTTGACTTTTTTATGACAATCCCACTACAAATATGTATATGTATTCCTGCAGTTTGAGGTACAAAATGCGAGTCAGAATTTTTTTAAAGAAAACACAAGCAAAATAAACAAAATTATAGAATACTTTGAGCCTGACATCTGCAGAAAGAAGCAACAAGCACTACAATTGTCAGGATCAAAAGAGAAACATAAATTTAACTGTCTAGTGTGTCAAACAAGATACTAACCATTTCAGAAAGTTATTGAAAACATCTTCACTCACACTCTTTATCAAGGTAAATTATTCTAATTTTCACTCAACACAAGGGATTGTAAGCACACAAAAGCTAAGAGGTATCTTTGTTGAACACAGGGTAGAACCTCATCATACTACACAACTTGTTTTAAGAAAGCATCAAAGGGGTGATTCAATCTCTAAAATACTTAATGAATGGGTTAATACTGATAAGTGAACAAGAAACAGTAATGGTGACTACAGGTTAAAGCACAACTGATGGGTGTACCATGTGTATTACAATTTACAATTGTGAACCAAAATCAATATTATACACTTATACAGACAGATTATCACATTATTGACATACCAACTTACATGGAAACACCAGAAGATATTTTAGACAGACATTTCAACTAGCAGAAGATCCTAGCCTTCATGAAAATCAAAGATGACAAAAAGGAAAGCATACATTACTCATCAAATTCATGTAGACTTGGACTACCACAGATCGATGAATGCTGATATACTGAGCATTAAAAAAATGGACCATAAAAAGGTAATCATAATCATAATGCCTAAAATGGATCATAAACATAACTATCATGAATCTGAGGACTACCAACAGGGCACAAATTGTTAGAACCAAATCAGACTATAACAGCCACAATTAGTCATGGCAAAACAGTAGATCTGAGAAAACAAATCAGTGTCACCCAAGGATCACAGCAGACCCAATTCACCCAAAGGAGCAAACTAACTGGTCGACGCAAAACTTAAGAATCAAGTAATATAGGACATCCGAAGTGAACCAGGACTGCACCTTATCTTATCTCTACAGATCGGACAGACCAAACACAGATAGAACAGTCAGGGGCACCAGTAAACCCGAATCGACCTAAATTACCTTGTACCCACACAAACTTCATATTCGAACCGCAAGCCACATCAAGGCCTCTGATTCAAGCCAATCAACACAAGACACCACGAGATGTAACCAAAACGCCTTGAAGTCAACTAGAAATACCGCTCAGCTAGCTCTAGCTCAATCCAATCAACACAAGACACCACGAGATGGAACCAAAACGCCTTGAAGTCAACTAGAAATACCGATCAGCTAGCTCTAGCTCTACCAACCAGAGAAGAGGGGGAAAGGGTGGTCAGTCACCTTGGTTTCGCCTCCCGATCTGAGAGACGAGATGTGGAGGCGCCGCCGGGAGAGAAGCACTAAAACCCTAGCGGCCGCCTGTGAGGATATCTATAGCAGCGGAGTTGGCGCACCGGGCAAGAAATATCCCACGGTCGATCCAGATTGGCGGCGGGCGGCTTCTGGGGCTGCTCGTCACCCATGAGCTCACTCTCGGGCTACCATTCGGCCCATGGATAAAGCCCACTGCCCCCTTTCCAAGACAGTGACTATACAGAAGCCCACTGGCCTCACGACGCGAGGTCGCCTTATCGGCAACTACAACGCGACACAAGAGGGCATTTGCGACAATTCATTGCATACAGGGACAGCCTATCAAGCATCTACTCCGCCCCCAAATGCTGGCCGGCATTTCCAGTTTCCTCACTCGCCGCCGTCCGCCCTTTCCGCTCGCCGCTACCGCCGCCGCCGCCGCCGCAGCCATGTCGTCGTCGTCCACGGCAGCGAACGTCTCCGATCGTCCGATCTCTCCGGACACCACCCGCGTGGCCTGGGTGGGGACGGGCGTCATGGGCCAGTCCATGGCTGGACACCTCCTCTCCGCCGGCTACGCTCTCACCGTCTTCAACCGCACGGCATCCAAGACCCAGGGCCTCGTCTCCAGCGGCGCCAGCCTCGCGGACAGCCCCCGCGCGGCCGCCTCGGCTGCCGATGTCATCTTCCTCATGGTCGGCTTCCCCTCCGACGTCCGCTCCACCGCCCTCGATCCATCCACCGGCGCCCTCTCTGGCCTGGCCTCAGGCGGCATCCTCGTCGACATGACCACCTCCGACCCCACTCTCGCCGCCGAGATAGCCGCGGCCGCTGCCGCCTCCGGCTGCTCGGCCGTCGACGCCCCCGTCTCCGGCGGCGACCGAGGGGCCCGCAACGCCACCCTCTCCATCTTCGCGGGCGGCGACGCCGCCGTCGTTGCTCGCCTGGCGCCGCTCTTCAAGCTCATGGGGGAACGCGCTGTACATGGGCGGGCCCGGCGCGGGGCAGCGCGCGAAGCTGGGCAACCAGATCGCCATCGCGTCCACCATGGTGGGGCTCGTGGAGGGCATGGTGTACGCGCACAAGGCCGGGCTGGACGTGGCCAAGTGGCTGGAGGCCATCTCCACCGGCGCGGCGGGGTCCAAGTCGCTGGAACTGTACGGGAAGCGGATCCTGGAGAGGGATATGGCGGCTGGCTTCTATGTCCGGCACTTCGTGAAGGACCTCGGTATCTGCCTGTCGGAATGCCAGGCCATGGGGCTGTCGCTGCCGGGGCTCGCGCTCGCGCAACAGCTGTACGTGTCGCTGATCGCGCACGGCGAGGGTGGGCTCGGTACACAGGCGCTCATACTGGCCGTCGAGCGGCTGAACAACACCAGCCTCGAGAAGAAGGACGAATGAAAGGCTCCAGGCTCCAGCTCTGATGAACTTGTGGGAAGCTTTGCTTGGTGCAAGTATGCAAGATCGAGGTGAATGCCAAGTTGTCTTTCGGAGTTCTACAGTTGTTCTCTTTTCTAGTAGTATATATGTTGTGCAAAAAATTGTGCCGGCTTGCTTAGCTCTACCTGTTTACATCCGCCACGAGTTCAAATAAGATTTTGCAAACAATGCGGCATTCCTTGCGTAGTTGCATTGGTTTAGTGCCCAAGATGTAATGACTGTTTAGCTATGGTGTTTGAAATACCAGATTTAGACATAGCTATATTCAGCATGGTTATTACAGACAAATTTCATGGTACTCAGTACTCACCCTTGAATCCTTGATATAGAGTTTACTGAGACCTTGTTTTATGATCACGTACCTCGATAGTTTTGATGTTCCTGATAATGGCCTGTGCCATTGAAAGTTTGAACCTCCCTCTGTCCTGTCCTTACCAGTGATCTGATCCTTCTATCGATTATTGATCATCATGTGAGCTAAAGCACATTTGGCAAAAATCACTTAAGAGTTCAAGTCGGATGAACTTGAACATCTGCAAAAATCAGTTAAAGAGTCAGTCAGATAATCTTGCAAGAGTTAAATGCATCAACTTGCGCTCTAGTTTCACTTAGGTCCATGAACTCTGAAAGTGAGTTTTTTGGTCCATAATCTTTGTTAGTGGCGTATTCCTAGCCCATACCCCATTTGTTTCAATTTTTTAACTGACGTGGCACCTCCGAGTCTAGGTGGGCGCCGCACACACGCATGCAGGTGCATGCATGGCTCACCGGCGCAGACTCGCGAGTAGGAGTGGCATCGCTGCCTCTCACCGGATCGGCCAGAGCTCACCGGGCTTCCGCCATGTTGCCCATCGGTCGTCCGCCGCGCAGAGTCTCGCTTCTGCGCTCAACACCTCCGCGCTGCGTGCTCGCATCCCACCACGGAGGCCTCCGCCACGCCTCCTCCAACTCCCTAGCCGCGCGCCGCTCCAAGATCTCGTGTTTGGCCGCCGCCACGAAGCGACGCGCCATGCCACGACGGCCTCCGTGTGGGGGCGATTGGCGAGCGCCATGGCCACGCGTCATTGGCGACCATGGCGCGCCGGCGCCCTCGCCACCGACGAAGCGCCATGTCGGGCCACCATGCCGGCCGCACCATCATCGAAAGCGAAGCGCCGCTCCGTCTTGGGCTCCATCATTCTTGCCTTCTTCCCCGGCCAACAAGGGCGGCCCGACAGACATGGCACGGTGGCACTTGGGACGAGCGAGGTGGTGCGCTCGAATGCAGCGATGCGAGACCCTCATGTCATTCGTCTTCATTCTCGCTGGTGGCGGCGGCGGCGAAGGCGTCTGGTGTTGCCGCCATGCAATGCAGCGAGCGGTCAGCCACGGCAGCATGGCACGAAGCGGCTGCGGGGCCCGTCCGGCAGCATGCAGTAGTCGCGCAATGTCGGTGGCGAAATCGGCGCGGGCATATGGAGAAGGCCTCGTTCAAAACCGACGATGCCGGCGGCCGCGCCATTGAATCGGATGTCGTCGCCGCACCAAGACGAGCCATGGCCGGTGAGGCGCTGCTCGCTCGCCCTTCGGCGGGCGGCAGCAGCCGCGCGCATAGACCGTCGATCTTCTTTTTGGTGAACGCAGTGATTTAATCGGATTAGAAGCTAGTAAGCCACCGGTTCATGGAGGTACTGTCGCGCTGCTCGAGAAGCTTTTTCTGTTCAAGAACCGCCTCGCCGGTGCCATACCGCCGCGTGGTCCCGCCCTCCGTCGCGCTGCAGTTCTCGACTGCTGTCGGACAACACGCGCCACGGCACCATCCTGTCGGGGCTCGGGATCTCGCCAACCTTACGCCCAAATACAGACTTGTAGGGCGACACGTAGTGCATGAACACCACCGCCACACCACCACCGGAGACGAACGCCGCAAAGCGCGCCACGACAGCGCAGAGCCCCACGAGGAAGTAGACGACACGAGTAGAGCAGCGATACCACAAAAGAAGAAGGTACGGCAGAAACACCAGCGTGGCCGCCCCACTCGAGACGTCGTCCGCGACACGCTTGCCTTGTCGGCGCGGAGGATCTCCGTGGAGGTTGCAAAACGACGACGCAGCGCGGGTCCGCCACGGGTGGCGCCCCCCCAGCAGACCACCAATAGCCGGCTGAAAGTCCGCCGCCAAAGAAAAGGCGCGTTAGCGCGCGCGCGATGGAGAGGTTCGGGACTCTTTGGCGCGCTTTTCTTTGGTGGAGGTTGTGTTCGCTCTAGGCCGTGAGTTGCGGTGGAGGGTGGAGCCGTCGAGAGCGATGGCGCCATTTGGTGAAAACTCAAACTCGAAAGTCAAGAGGGAAGCGGCGGTCAGAGCCGCTGCAGCAGTCGCAGAGCCGCCTGCTGCAACCGCATCATGGTCACCGCCACCGCCACGCCGCCCTTGCCCGCCGCTGCCGTGGGCGCCCGCCAAAAGCCGCGCCGTGGCCACTGTCGATTTGCCGGCAAATTGCTCACGCGCCACCGGTTGCACACGACCGCCCATGCCTCGTGCTCCGCCTCGCCGCCGGCCACCGCCTATTGCGCTTATGCGTGTAGCGCCACGCACCGCCGCCGAGGAGGATTTGGCAGAGCCGCGCCTCACCGGCCTTGCCGCGTCCCCGCCCTGGCCCCTAGGATGCCTCTACCACGGCCTCGCCTTGCCCAGCAGCGCTCGCGCCCCCCGCTCCTGCATCTTGCTTGGAGCTCGGAGACGAAGCGACGTGCCTCGCGTCGACCCCGCGTCCGCCTTGTCCGCCCTACGCCGGTGAGCGCGACGTCCGCCTGGGGCACGTGCGCAGAGAGCCATGCATGCACCTGCATGCGTGTGTGCGGCGTCCACCTAGACCCGGAGGTGCCACGTCAGTTAAAAAATTGAAACAAATGGGGTATGAGCTAGGAATACGTCACTAACAAAGATTATGGACCAAAAAAACTCACTTTTAGAGTTGATGGACGTAAGTGAAACTAGAGCGCAAGTTGATGGACCACCCATGCATTTAACTCATCTTGCAATGTTTGGCCTCGCTTAGCCAGAGCCGGTTTGGCTCTCCTGGGTGAGCGGGGAAAAACTCAGCTTGCGCAGGCAGCGTGACCTCAGGTGAGGCTAACCTTGCTTGTTTGAGCGAGCCAATTTGTCTCTCCTGGGTCAGCGAGGAAAAACTCACTTACGCAAAAACCGAGGCAACAAGGCAAGGAATCCAAACACATTTTTCTCTTTCGTTTCTCGCTGGCAAGGCTAGGTGAAGCGCGCTAGCAGAACCAAACGCGGCCTAACAAAATCCTATCACCAAATGGCAAATTATGATTTTGCCCTGCTGGCCGACGCCCTCTTCGTTTGGACTTCTTCAGCCGATAAGGCATGGCTGAAAATATTGTTGGCTGATTTGGTGTGAGAGAAAAATATTATTTTTTGGCTGAAAAAGTATGGCTTATAAGTCAAACAAGTCCAAACAAACAAGGCGCGAATCATTGCACTTTCTTCTTGGTGATTGAATTATTGTTGCAGACCTTTAGTATCTTAAAGGGTAAAAGGCTTACACCCACAGTTGATCAATCTCACGTGTCGGCATTAGATGATTGAAAGGAACCAACAATCAGCCTGTTAAACATTTGTTTCAAATGAGGCTTATCGATTCGACCAATAGTGTTTTCTCTCTCACAACAAAAACCAAAGACCAAATTGAGTTTATCAACCTGACAAAATCAACCAAATGAATGTGCTCAATATAAGATGATAACTCTGTCTCAAGAGGGAAAAGATGAGCGGTTTAGAGTTTAGACACTTAGAATCCAATTTGTAACGTAAATAAAGGAATTAAAAGTGCACAAGAGCACCAACCGTCCCATAAGGTTTTATGGATCATTGTTTCTACAAAATTATTCCAATATGAAGAATTAAAACATGTGTAGTATAAACAGAAAGGAAAGAAAACACATAAAAATAACATTAATAAAGCAGAGTCAATCCATAGCAATCAATCAAATTTGCTTCATTGGTTGGTTTACAATAAGCTCGGCTGATGCTGATTTATTATGAGAGAAAAATACTGTATCATGACTGATAAGCCCTGACTGAAAGCAACAAGCGAACAGGCTGAATATAAGAAAAATAACTGCCCGTGATGAAGTTGTAAAATCTGAGAAACAAATACAAGACTCCAAAGAACAGAGACAATATACTAACTACATATACACCAAAAAATTCTACCAAATACGCACTGAACCAGCATATTTTCAAGAAATATTGTGAAGACTGAAAAGGAGAAGAACTGAATCTAAACACCGTGTCATTGGTGCCAGTAAATTCAAATGAGAGTGAACAGAATCATATTCAGCAAAGGCTAATAGTTGTCCACAGAAATACTTTCAAAATGTCATTATATCATGGCAGTACAGTATCGCAAGTAGCATATATATCGTAATGTAATATTTTATGTGGAAAACATAGGAAATGAAGCTATCGTCAAGAATAGATGATGGCACCATAAAGTGATACAAGCAAAAAATAAATTATCAAACATTCAGAGTTTGTTCTCGTATTCAAAGAGAGGTGTGACCTGCTCGATGAGGACATCCTTCTATTGATACAACCACACCTACTGCACAATAAGATCCGATGACAAGAGCTCGAACACGATAACTTAATTATCAGTAAAGTCGCTCCTCATTGTTTATACAAACTCGTCTCGTAATTGGATGCTACTAAATCATGGTGATGATTGTCTTATTCTTAGGAATGTTGGTCAAGACCCCATTGCCTCATGTTTAGACCCCATGATGAGGATGGAGTAGCCGAACAAGTGGGAATCATCATTAATGGGGCGCTTCACTCATTTCGAGACAAAGAAACACTCCATCAAAAGTACCATAACTCTTTGATACGAGATCCAATGAAGCTGGTTTTTGACTTGATGGAAAGAGCGCTACCTCTCTTTTCACATGGGTCCAACCTCAC